ATGAATCGTTTGAAATTTTGTTCGTATCTCTATCGGTTAATTAAATTCACTTGGTGTTACTTGTTTGAATCTTCCCATTGATGTTTTAGGACTGCAACTAGTCAGTCTCTTATTGACATATGTGTATACTGTCCGTATTGCCTCTATATAGCCTTAATTCACAAGCATTATAAGCAAAGATGGATAGTATATAGCAGTGGAATACAGGACGCGCGTTTCGTTTTATTTGGGACTCATCAGCTGGGTGTATCTGCGTGTCGAACTCAGTACCGTCCGCTTCAAACGCCATCGCGTCATCCACCCAGCTACTGAGTCCCAGAGTGAACATCAACTCTGAGATGCAGGTACATCCAGCTGACGAGTCCCGAATAAGACGAAACGTGCGTCAAACTGGATCCCACTGCTAGCCACTATCCATCTTTGCTTATAATCTATCCAGATTGATCAAAATAAGAATTTTCCTTTTCTTGAGTTTTCAAAACTTTCGCATACCATTAAATCACATGGTCTATAATACTTTCATTTTAAAAGAGTGATAGTCAAAGATACTATGAACCACTCATATATATTCACTTTCTTTTCCCATGCATCACTGTCGGTTGGAGTGTGAAATAAATTTGAGACATATTTTGCTTTCTTAGTAGCTTGGATGATGAATGGAAAGTTGTTGGTACAAATTTGTTTGAATGATTTTCTAGTTTCTTACACTATTCTGCACTGATATTATAATTTACATCATTAAAAGACTTTTGTTAATTATTTCAGTCTGTTTTTGGTTACCTACATCCTTATGCCTGTTACTTACAATGGAGCATAGGCCGCTGACCATCATTCTCCAACCTATTCTGTCCTGAACTTTCCTTGTGTTTTGATTAGTTAAATAAATTCTTCAAAAAAAGTAGCTATCACTACAAATTAACATTACCATTTGTTCAAATCAGAGAAAATTCAGGGATTTCGAATTAGTGATTTAAAGATATTTTCTTATTAATTTTATAGTTGAATTCATAAGTCAATCAAAGCTAAATCACCATGGAAATCTTGGAAGCACTAGACAGCTGTTTCGTCCCTCAAGCGGGATCGTAGATACGCACTGCTGAGGGGTCCCATACTAAGACGAAACAGTTGTCCAGTGCTTCCACGTTTCTCATGGTGATCTAACTTTAATTGACTCATGATCTTAACTATTAAATAACTAATATCTCCAGAAGATCCCCTTGTGATATTTTTTTATTCTGTTTATGATACCTGAATATTGTCGATTCGATTCATTATAAAGTAATGTATAGCTCTTTGAATAGTGGTCTTGAGTGATGTTAGAGGTGTGAGGGCAGTTATCACTTCCCGTTTGCCCACACCGTGGAAGGGTTCTTCTAGAGGTACCTGAAAAGGAAATTGGGTCAGAAGTGATCTTAATGACCGGAGAGCGTGACCTTAGTGCTCAAGGGACAATTGCTTGAGGTCGGTCACACGCGACCTTTTTGTGGGTAGTTTTTGTGTTAGCTCCGTTCTTGGAATGGCCTTACCTCCGGAGATGGAAATCCGTGAGATAAGATGAGGCATGACATTTCTAGGGTCAACCTTTTCTAACCCATTTCCTTCCTTGTGGGAAGGCAGCATCGCTGTTATGCTGGTTGTCTGAAGGAAACACCTTACTGCTGTCATACCTCTGTACAGTCAGTAGTACGACTTCGCCTTCGAACCTTAGGTTCGGTGCTTTTAGTCTTACTGCTCTTCAACCGACCTGTCTGGCATGGTAGAACCTTGAGGAACGATTGTTGCAGCTAGTATAGCTCGATTGGTTCATCACGATGGGTAAGCCCGACCACTACGTCAAAGTAGCAGCAAAGGTCGAGTCTTACGTTGTAGCTGACTGACTGACTGAGCTCTTTGAATATATACTCTGTTCACTTTTCAGAAATAGATAACTAACAATAGTATTCACATTTACAATGTACCAAACACAAATGATCAAAATAGATTTTTAGTTCTTTTTTTGTAGTATTAGTTACTATGTTAATCTCATATCATTTATTCTATCTACTACTACTACTACTACTACTACTACTACTACTACTACTACTACTAAACAGGTTAATTTAACCATTCTTCTTGAGTAGTCACGTTTTAACCTTGTTAACATTATTCATTTATTAATCCTGAGTGTTTTTTAAATGAGCGTGTGTGTGAGTGTGAGTGTGTACACTTCTTATCCTATTCATCACATATCTGTAATTTATTTTTATTTGTCTATAAATATTGATTAACGCTTGATGAAATGAAGTTGGGTCACTTGCCTTCTTCACTACGTGTTATTTCGCTTCTCTCTCTCTCTCTCTCTTGTCTTTGCTTCATCCCTCTGATATCCAGTGAAGATGAATAAATGTATAAAATATATGTATTCAAAAGAAATCCATTCACATAATCGACCTAGTTTTAATTTCGTTATTCACCTCACCAACATAGAATAAGTCGATGATTATATATGAGGATCGCCGACATGTATATTATTCAATGATAATCAGTTAACATACAATTCAATTACTATCAGATATAAGTCATTAACAGAGGGGTTTTTGTGGAGATTTAGTATTTTCATAGTTGAAAGCGTAAGTCAATTGAAGCTAGAGCACTAGGAAAAACCTGGAAGCACTGAACGGCCGTTTCCTCCTATTGTGGGACTCCTCAACAGTGCTCATCCAGGACCTACCAGTCTCGCACCAGAGCAGTTAACCGATAGACCACTTATTCGGCCGGTATCCATGGTGTTAATGTCTAACTTCAACCAATCCACGAAGTTGAGCAACCGTTCACCAATTGTCTTCAGTGAGTTGATATCTCACAACAAATGTGGTTTGAACCTCACTTCTATTCTTTCATTGTTATTGTTGTTGTTTAGCTAGCCTAACAATAATAATAATTTAATTGTATGTAGGTGTGTGTTTCTCACGTATCTACCTACCTACCTATCAAATTGGCTTATTTTTAATCATATAATGAGTCATTTTGTTCTCTCATCATTGAAATGGTAATGTGCCAATTTTTTTTTGTTTTTTTACCAAGATAATCTGAGATTATGTCATAGATTTATTAAGATTATTATTATCATTATTATTCCATGTTGATTGATTGATGGAATAGTTCCAAATACAAAACTCAGAATAAATATTTTTTTTTCAAATAAAAAAAACATATGCTCACTAGTGATTGACTTCAAGAGGTATTTCTTGGAGTTGCAGTGAGAAGCAGTGACCAGTGGAATTCAACCGGGTCTGTTATAAGGTAGTAACTCATTGAAGACAATGGTGAACGGTGACTCAGTTTCGTGGATTGGTTGAAATTAGACATTAACACCGTTAGATGTCAGTCAACTCAGTAGTCTAGAGGTTAAGTGTTCGCGTGCGAGACTGATAGGTCCTCAGTTCGAATCTCGTAAGGTTGGATCGTGAATGCGCAGTGCTTAGGAGTCCCATACTAAGAAGAAAGGGCCGTCTAATGCTTCCAGCTTTTCCATAGTGCTCTAGCTTTAATTGACTCATGATTTTAACTATATAAAAAAAACTAATAAAATCTCCACAAAACCCCCTTCTGATAAGATTAATAGTGATTACTTCATGTTTGTTACGTAATATACAAAACACCAATGGACTACATAATTTCTGATCTTTGTTAAACTTCAAATTTTATGGAAAAAAAAAGTAATTTTATTAACTTATAATGTAAATTATGAAATTCAACAAATTGTACAACATTCAATAATAAGAAATACTATATATTGAATAGACACTTCTTGGTTAGGGGTCCACGTCACTATCGTAACCAATGGTTGGAAACTCTAGGTGACATGGCTCAGAATCGATCACAATGGCGTAGGTGTATACACTCTTTATCTTCCTTTAAACCTTAAGATTAAAATTGCTTCATATCTGTCTTCCTGTACTATATCCTTATATACAACCTATCTTTTATATACTACCACCACTAAATTAATTACTTCTATGAATCCGGTGTTCATGTTGTTGTGCTAACGAGGTATAGCAACTTGTAGCGATGCATAAATGTGTCTAGTCCTACGTTGTAGCTGACTGACTGAGACATTAGTTTCAAGAGTTAATTCTTGGAATCCCTAGTGAGTAGATATAAAATTTGAAATTTACAATCATTCAATATGAGATAAATATGTGACGAATGACAAATGATGAAAGTTGTACATTGGAAATTTATCGAAATGATTTAAATATTAAATAATCGTTGCAGAATAAGATTTAGCCTCCAAATGCCCTGGTATGGCCGAGAGTAGGTAGAGTCCGCTCTCCCTCTACAAATGCTCTCACATGGCCACGCAAATATATAGCCTCTACCAGGGAAGCCCTACTCACTGCCTTCTCGTGGCATTACTGTTGTTTACGAAATTGAGAGGATGAGAAGCGAATGTCCCACGCTTTAACCGGTTTGGTGGACACGGAAAGTTTACATAGAGGAGTTGGAAAACCCAAATCAATAGTGCATATGGGTTCCAGTATCCTGAGGGAACAAATGGCGTATGAATCAACCGTTGATCACCGGCTACCATGGGGCTGCATCTCCTTACGATGCTCGACTGCCTTGTGGATCAGAGCTTTAGGTCAAAGGCTCCGGGTGTGGTCCCCTAACAAAACCATCTGCTTCTATCTGGGCACCTGGACAGTATCACAGCCCTCACACAAATCAAATAAGATTTGTGCGGCGCATGTGTATCTGGTGCCCGTTTGTACCAATATTTATGTGTTTAAAGAAATAAATAAATAGCATAAGATTTACGTTCGATTCCTGGTAGGGTTGTTTGTATTCATTACTAAAAAGTTACGTATTGTGATGAAACAACTGTACAGTACTTCCTGGTTTTTAACTTCTGTTTAACTAAGATTACTTCGCTACGTGACTTTTGACCCCTTTTTTTCAGTATTATTATTATCGTTGTAGATATATTCTTTCATGTCTTTTTCTTTTTCCTTTTTTAGCTTGTTTCTTCTCACATTATCTTGTATATAATACGGATTCATATAATTATCAACCTAATTTAATTCTAATTAGTTTAAATGGTCTAATCTGGTATCAAGGTAATCTATTAGCTGGTACTAATGATCCAGATCCATTGGGTCAATTTAATTGGCTTAGACAAACATTTCAATGGGCAAGAAAACGAAAGGATAAAGTAAGTTTTCTTTTAATTATTGCATGTATATATATAATGATCTAATTGGTTGTATAAATTATATTTTCAACTCAATAACAGAGCAACCCAAATACTTTTCAATCAAACAATAAGAAGCGTACTACGCTCATATAATTTTAAGACGTTGGAAAAGAGTTATAGCTCAGGTGAATGATTTTGATGAAGTTTTGTTTTCTGAGCTAGATGGTTTGGTCATGGAGCTATCATCGTTCTTCTTAAAGACATCATTAGCGAAAACGTCGGTTAGAAGTGAAGTGTTTGTGCTGACGATGTCAGAATCCGTATAGTTTTACTACTATTGTAGTGAACAAGAACACGAGTGGGGACAATGAAATGTATTTGAGCACAATATTAAAGGAAACTCCACTAAATTCTGATAACCATACAGTAGTAAACAGTTAATTTGCAAAATCACAATCAGTTGTCTCAATTTTGACTGTTCGTTGTGTTAATATCGGCCCATCTTCTCTGATTTCATTATTTATACATTTTCATACCGATTGCGCTTCATTTCTGTTCGTTCCTTATCGATCTTCTGCCAAAAATGCATTCTATGTCTGACCATCATCATATACTACTTATATGGATATAAGTACACCACATCACACTATCTCTGACTTTTTTTGTGCTCTGTCTATTACTTGACAACTTTTTATTTATTGACTAAATGAAGTTCTTTTTATCTTTTAAAGGTTTTACTTGTTAGTCATTTCCCTCCGGGTGCTTCAGAAAATTCTCCACAATGGTATCAATTTCTTCATCCACAAATGAATGATCAATTAGTGAATATATTAATTGAAAATGCAGATTTATTAATGACTGGATTATTTGCCCATGAACATGTTGATAGTTTTCGATTGTTAGTTTCTAAATCAAGTTAGTATTTATTTTATTTTATTTTATTTAAACACATAAATATTGATACAAAGGGGCACCAGATACATATGCGCCGCACAATTCTTATTCGATTTGTGTGAGGGCTATGATACTGTCCAGGTGCCCAAACTGAAGCAGGTGGTTTTGTTAGGGGCCACACCCGGAGCCTTCGACTTAAATATCTGATTCACAAGGCAGTCGAGCATCGTAAGGAGATGCAGCCCCATGGTAGCCGGTGATCAACGGTTGATTCATACGCCATTTGTTCCCTCAGGATACTGGAACCCATATGCACTATTGATTTGGGTTTTCCAACTCCTCTATGTAAACTTTCCGTGTCCACCAAACCGGTTAAAGCGTGGGACATTCGCTTCTCATCCTCTCAATTTCGTAAACAACAGTAATGCCACGAGAAGGCAGTGAGTAGGGCTTCCCTGGTAGAGGCTATATACTTGTGGCCATGTGAGAGTATTTCGAGAGGGAGAGCAGATTCTCCCCACTCTCGGTCGTACTAGGGCATTTGGTGGCAAGCTAACATTAATAATACAGATTATCCAATAATCAAATGTATTCTATTTTGTTTTGTATAAGCCATTTATTTCATTAGTTTGTTTAATCAACTATTGTCAAGTTACTGTCAATATGAGATAGGTTAGTATTAATAGTTGTAATAGTCTTAAGAGAGTATGATATTGTATGTGTTCTTTCTGTGTATACATACATACTTGATTGACAAAACATCATATTAGTAATGAATTACATATGTAAACAATGATTCTAGACATTGTATATGTAACATATCATTCCGTTTATTCATTGAGAACAATGTGGATATCATAAATTTGGTTTTGATACAAACTTTGTATATACGCGTGTGTGTGTGTGTGTAACCTTAGACTTCTTATCTTATGCTATAACGGGTTGTATGTGGAGATTTTTAGTAATTTTTTATATATGTAGTTGAAATCATAAGTCAACGTCGTGGATTAGTTGTAGTTAGACGGATAAGTGCTCACTCGCGAGACTGATAGGTCCTAGGTTCGAATCTTGCGAGCCGGGATCATAGATGCGCACTGCCACTGAGGAGTCCGACAATAGTACGAAACGGTCAACTAGTGTTTCCAGGTTTTCCATGGTGATCTAGTTTCAATTGACTCATGATTTCAACTTTATATAAAAAATGATGTTATAACGGTTACATATATTGGCTTCTATTCATCATAGATCATGAATCATAGTGAAAATTTCTTTAATTGTTTAATCCACAAAATATCTCAGAAAGTTGTAATGCTTATTCTAAATGGGATAAGAATACCTTTTCATTTTAGAAAGTGTAATGAATAACACTGTATTACTTTTGCTCAGTGATGAAGGTAAAATTGAAATGTAACTCATAGTTATATGTTTTTTAATTCTAAGTCTATAAACTATTCTTTGAAAGTGAAATGTGTGTCACCGTTCGAGCATGATAATCATTCCACGATTAATTGTTTAGTTTGTATTTTATTGGGTTTATTATCGATAGAAAGTAAACAAAAACATCCTTCAAAATCATTTGTAAGTGTTGTAATCTTCTCGTTGTTAGTGTTAAGCGCTACAATTGATTGATCCCTGTTATCATTATGAAGATTTTTGCTTAGAAATTCTTGTGGCCGATGAAAGTAATATAGACAATCGTCTCATGAATGCATGCATGTTAAAATAAACTAACAAATAACAATCCTTAACACGAATAACGGAAATCCTTACAACTGGATTACAATTCATCCATATTGCTTAAGTTAGTGGAATGTACTGTACTTAGAAGCTAAGTGGATAACGCGTTGACGCTTTAAGTGAGAGATACTAGATTCAAGTCCTAGAGTCAGCATTAACATTCGGATACAAATTTTTATTTACAGCAAATAGAAATATCCTTCTTTCACAGTTTAGACAACTAAGAAGTATCATCCAGTCATATATACTTACTAACACTGGAATTCATATTGATGACTGAGTAAAAGATGTTCAAATAGGTTGTTGAACATGATGGAATCTGTGATCAGTCTTGCATATCATAATTGTTTATTCTGTTTAGAATTTATTTACTTAAAATTGATAGACATGTGAATAAAACATTACATCTCATATTTGTAATAGCTCGAGCTTGAAATTACTTCAGTCAGTCAGTCAGCTACAACGTAGGACCAGGCATATATATGCATCGGTCCAGGTTGCCATACCTCATTAGCACAGGAAGATGAACACCGGATTCATAGAAATAATTAATTAAGTGGTGGTAATATATAAAACAAAGGTTGTATATAAGGATATAGTATAGGAAGGAAGAAAGTTATGAAGCAATTTTAATCTTATAGTTTAAGTGAAGACTTAGAGTGTATATATCTATGCCATTGTGATCGATTCTGAGTCATGTCACCATGAGTCTCCAACCATTGGTTATGACAGTTATGCGGACCTCAACCAAGTAGTCTGCATCTACCAACATGGCTCAGACTAGAAGTTAGTGACTTTGTGGACTGATGCCACGTTTTGATTTGGTCGCCCTTAACTTTCTTCCAACCATTGCCAATGCTAGTCAGTATAGCGCGTCGTGGTAATCGGTGTCCAGGCATACGTAACACGTGGCCTAACCATCTCAGTCGATGATGATTCATCACCTCATCAACTGATTTACCATCATTCCTTAATACCCTGCATCTAAACTCACTATTACTTATCCCAGTGATCCCAACAGATGCAAGCAATATTTCTAAAACATCTATGGTCTAATACTAGTATCTTCTACTCGTAATGGTCATGTTCTTCATTCAGCATATGTTTTAACCCTAGTCAAATTCATCAATCAGATTTTATGACTTCATCGTCCATCTTATAAACTTTCAACATTCATCTTATGATCACCTTCTTACTGAATATTTTCAATTTATTTATTTTTTTTTTTAGATATACCGGTGGCATCTTTATTTCTTATGCCTTCTATATCTCCATTAATGTTGCATGGTTTGGGTGATTTTAATCCACGTATACGTTTATATAGATTTCAACGTTCAACAATGACTCTATTAGGTTATTCCCAATATTATTTTAATTTACAAAATCAATCATTCAATGATATGGATCCATTGAATCATTGGCAATTAGAATATGATACCATGACAACTTATCATTTACCGGATTTATCACCAAATTCATTACATCTATTATGGAATAACTTTTTAAAAGAAGATAATGGTTATTGGACAAATTATTGGAATTATGAATTAGGTGGTAGACCTCATGCTTTAAAACCAAATTATCTTACAGTAGATGGTTTATGTCCTTTAGCAAAATCCCAATGTCGATGTGATCATTTATGTGCTATGCGTTTTCTGATCTTATCAGATTTGAATAAATGTCTTCAATTATGTAAAGATATAAAGTATATTCAAGTGAATGATGGTCATGGTCTTCAACATCCAATGTTTACTCCTATTCATAACAATAAAAGTAGTATATCATTGAATGATTCAATAATGAATGAGTCAAGCAATGTAAATTCTAATGAACGTAGTAGTTTACCATATATCATTGGTGTAATTGTTGCATTTTTAGTTGTATTAGTTGGTATTGTTTTAATTGTTAATCGTGAAGTATGTCATCGACATCGTGTTGTTTATCATCAGCATACATCATCATTATTAGCTAATGTTATTGGTATGAATAGAACTAATCCTGGCGGCGGTGGTTTTGGTGGTGGTGGTTGTGGAAATGGTGCATTACCTATTTCTTCATTTCTTTATGGATCTCGTTCAATGATTAAAGGTAATAATCATTGTACTGGTGGTTCATGTATTGAATTACGTACAGCTTTTCATCCATCTTATGATGATTTCTATCCGGAATATTTTAATAAATCTGTTACATCTTTAAATGCAATTACATTATCCAACAATATGACTACTAATACTACTGATCATAAAGAATCAGATCGAATGATGAACGGAGTTGTGGTGAGTTCGTTTGCTCCATTAGAACATAATAACATAACAACTCTATCACCATCTTATATGATTTCCTATTATGATAATCCTAGTGATCATAGTAGCAGTAACAGTAATAATAATAATAATAACCCAATTATAAAACAAAATTATATTGGTAAACGATATTCTCTACCGAATTATGCTTATTTAAAAAAATATCTATCTAGTTATATTAATCCAACTGGTCGTATGGTATATGTAGTAAATCAACTGTTTGATCGTTGTGGGCATACTACTACTAGTCGAGTAAGCCATATTCAGAATAATGATACTATTACTAATAATAATAATAACAATGCCAACACTACTCATACTAACCTTAGTCATTGTAATGATCCTCAACAATATCTGTTCAATAAGACTTCATCAACAGATGATAAAAGTTATACAACATCTGAACGATCATCCAATTGTCATCATCATCACCAACATCATCATAAAGAGGATCTTCAAAACAATAATAGTTGCTTACCTGAAGATTATTATGCTGATGATGAAGCATTCGGTGATGAAGATTATAATGATCTACATCATAATGATACATTTGTTCATAGTGGTAAGAAAGATTTATCAATCTCATCACAAATTGGTTATCATCAATTTACTACTGATAAAAAGTTGAAATTAAATCAAATGAAGAAACAATTGAATTCTAATCGTACTCACCATCGTCATCATCATCATCATCATAATGATCCTTGTAGAAGTGGTGCAACTGATGATGATAGAGATTCAATGAATGATCTTATGTTTCATTATGATCAAGAATCACAACTTCTTAATCATTGTCATATGAACAACACTAAAGAGAATCCTAATGTTGGAAATCATAGAAAAAAACATCATACTACTAATCATTTAAGTAGTATATTAACATCTTCACTTATATGTTTACCAAATGAATTCAATAATCATATAAAGAATAAAAATGGAATAATTCAACAACAACAACAACAACAATCATATTCAACTTATACATCACCATTTAAATATCGAACACAGTTACCAACCTCAACACCACCAACCCCTTCGTTGATAACAGGATCATCAAAAAATCATGATCAATCGGATTTGGATCAACATCTACTTATGTCATTTTCATTACCAAATCAAACTCATCAAATAACATCATCATCTAAATTGAATAACAATAATGTACAACAATGTAATTCAATTAATAATAAGACTAACCCTAACTCTTATCATCCTAATCATCCTTTAACAACAAGAAATAGATCGATTATAAAAATGCCTAAATGTGATTATGTTCGAATGTCAAGTTGATAGTTGCTTTTTTTTTCTATTTATTTTCTTGGCCTATTTGTATTTGTTACTATGTAAATATGTTTATTGTTTTATTCCCTTGTACTTCTTATTCTTCTTCTCCTTCTTCTTTTCCTTACATATTGACGAGTAATTTGGGGAGAAAAACAAACATACACACACACATTTAAACATGATTTTTTTGGGGGGGGTAGGGGGAGGGTGTTATGTTGAAATCAAATGTTAATCTTGTCGTCAAGAGACTATTGGAATATATAACCTTTCTATGTTATACGTGGATGCATATGCATAATGTTTTTTCTCATTGGATTTCCCTCCATGACAACTATATATTTGTGTACTGTTCTCTCTTTCTCTCTGTTTTTTTTAAAAATACCATTTTGTTTTAATCCTATTCAAAGAAAATGAGCATAGATGCCGCTCTATCTAGTCTATTGATAGATGTTTTTTTAGACAATGTATCCATGGTAATAATGATTATATTTAAATCTGAACTACTTTAATCCCCATATAGATCAAAGGAAACGATTTATCATTATTCTTATTATCAGTAATACTTTAATTTAATCTTGTTTATTGTTGTAACTGGTTGCTCATTGTATAGATCATTACTCCTTTCTTTCTCTTACTTCAAATCTAATCAGTGTATAAGGTGTATATTCTAGGTGTTTGGTTATCTTACTTCTTCTTCTTCTTCTTCTTCTTCTTCTTCTTCTTCTGATGATGATGATGATGATGATTTCATTTCATCCTGTTTATTGGTATCCTTCTTCTTTTGTTTGTGTGTGTGTGTGTGTTGATCTGATTCTCTTCCATTTATCTATTTCTATTCTATTGTATGTGTAATTTATATTAGGCAATGGGATGATGTTTAAATAATATAAACAATCATGAACAAATAGAATAAAAACAATCTATTTGTACATACATATATTTAGTGTTTATTTTTATGTTTCTAGTAGTAAATAGTACTGTTTCATATTATGGTTAGTGAATTCATATAGAGATCTGTTGTAGCTGCTACTTTGATGTAATGGTCGGGCTTGCCTGTCGTGATGATCCAACGGAGGTATATTAACTAGAACGTATGTTCCTGTAGGTTCTATCATGCTAGGTAGGTCGATTGGAGAATGATAAGACTAAAAGCAGCAATTGAAGGTTTGAGGTCGAAGTCGTACTCCTGACTGTAGAGGGATGTGATGACAGTAAGGTGTTTCGCTTGGATAACCAGCATCTGCAGCGATGCTATTTTCCCACAAGGAAGGAAGGGGTTAGAAAAAGTTGACCCTAGAAATCTCACACCTCACCTTATCTCATGGATTACCGTTTCCGGCTGTAAGGCCATTTGAAGAACGGAGCTAACACGTCAAAATTCTCCCACAAAAAGGCCCTACGTAATTCACCTCAAACAGTTGTCCCTTGGGCATTGCGGTCATGCTCTCAGGTCGTTATGACCGACATTCATCCAACTTCTTTTTCAGGTCCCTCAAGAAATACCCTTTCACGGTGTGGGCATCTGGGAAGTGATATTAACCCTCATACCCTTAACTGCACACGAGACCAAGTTGGTCACATTCAAATCCTTCCTACATCTCTATCCAAATGTAAAGACATGAATGACTAGGAAGTTTTAATTGAATAATCTATACACAAATTATAAGTGTGTAGATACTTATCTATTCTGATCTAAACAAAGAAATATGATCGCTCAGACGTTGATTGGGTGCGTTATTGTCTTTGTTCACTGATTTATCTTGTTTATCATTTCTCATCCAGTTCTTGAGTTTAAGTCAGTATGTGATATGTCTAAATTCACGTAGGCTATCAAATGTGTAATCAATTCTCATTACCTTTTTTCTGGATTCATTTTATCTTGTCTATTCTTAAAAAAGTACGCATCAATGTACTTACAGATGAGCCGTAAAGTTTGTGTAAAAGTTCTTAATACTGCTCTGTTACTCCAGTCAAAGCACGTTTTTAATGAAGTTCATAGAATTTGCGAAATCCTGGTTAAATTACTGATTACTTCAACCACTGCTCAATGTTGTCAGTATTCTGACAATGTTTCATTGTTCATCAGTCAGTGGGAGAGTAGGCAGAGACAACGACGAGTTTCCTTATCTTTCCGAGTCCTTACTGATCCGTTTAGTCGGACAGCTCATAGACGACTGTCTACAGGGATCCAGTCTAAAAGAGCTGCCCTAGGACTTAATGCTATGCCTACTCCAGCGAGGCCACGGGAAGCAGCATCAGGGCTTGCAGATACACGAAGGGTGTATCGAGATGGTTCTTGATTTTGATATGGTGAAGTCAAATGAATGACACTACTCGGATCTTGTATGCGCGTTTCGGAGACGCAGCACATATCGATGGTGCGAGATTCTAGAGTCCTAGCTAAGGAGTCCTATTTGGCACAATGTTCGGACATTAAAAGTTCCTATATGTAGTTTAGAGCGTGGTTTCAGGAGACCAGGAATGACGTTCCGCGTACTCAAATCTTTTGCCCTAGCGGTGCGAGGTGATAAAAGGACGTGAGAAGGGTTAGTCGTGGAGATAACAGAGTTATTAGGTGTAGGAAGGATTTGAAAGTGACCGACTTGGTCTCGTGTGCAGTTAAGGGTATGAGGGCTAATATCACTTCCCGGCTGCCCACACTGTGGAAGGGTATTTCTTGAGGGACCTGAAGAATAAGTTGGATTGTTCATCATCACACTTACTAATGAATATTTTAATATCAATGTGTAACTGTTTCTCATTAATTAGACATCAAGCTCTCTGTAATGTCTTCTACATAACTAACAAAAGATCAAACGACATTGTTACCGTATTTAGGCTGCATAAATAATGGACTATGCAAATCTTCACATTTTCATTTGCTTAATTAAAACAGAACAAGATACATTTCATTTTCTTGTAAATTTATAAACTGAATAACACTACGAAATGGCACACTTGAAATATTTTTCTACTTGGACTGTGGAGGATGTAACATTAGCAGAAGAGTGCTGAAATTGATATAAGGGCGCAGTAAATATATATGTGGCACACTTCATCACTTAATTTATATGAGGGATGAGATACTTTTCGAGTGTCCTAATCGAATCAGGTGGTTTTATTTGAGGGCCACTCCCCGAGCATTTGCCTTAGAGGTCTGATTCATAAGACAGCGGAGCAACGTAAGGAGATACAGTCTCATGATAGTCGGTGACCAACAATGGGTTCATACGCCATTTTTCCCCTCAGTATCTTGGAGCCCGTTTACACCATTAGTTAGTTTGGAATTAGGGTTTTCCAATTGCTATATGTGGATCCTCCATATTCACCCACCAAGTTGGTTAAAGTGTGGGACATTTGCTTTTCATACTCTCAGTTTGTTAATGAATACCTCTGTCACTAGAAGTCAGTGAGCAGAGCTTGTGTAACAGTGTCTATACACATACGGCAGTTTGAGAGAATTTCAGGAAGGGAGAGTGGACTCATTTCACCATCGACCGTTCTAGGGCATTAGAGGGTGCCCCTCTACAGTCAGTAGAGCTTCGATTTTGATTTTAGTCGTCAAACTGATCTGATTTCCATACTCATACTTTTTGTGTTTGAATACTCTTAAATACCAATTACTTTAATGCCTCCTAGTCTTCAAACATTTTCACTATTAAGTCTTGAACATAATGTAAAATGTTCAAAGAGTTTAGAAATCAAGCTACACCAAAAAATAAAACGACTTTAGTCGAAAAATACACTCATTTATATATTGATTGTATATCTGTTATAATTATTAACTAAGATGAAATCATATATTTAAAGAATACCCAGAGATAAGAAAATCAAATTGCACAAACAACTGACTATCAGTACTCAGTAGCTGAGTGGATAACACTTCTTCTAGAGAGGTACCTGAAAAGGAAATTGGGTTAGAAGTGGTCTTAATGACTGGAGAGCGTGACCGTAGTGCCCAAGGGACAATTGCTTGAGGTTGGTCATACACGATCTTTTTGTGTTAGCTCCGTACTTGTTGGTACCTTACCATCGGAGACGGAAATCCGTGGGATAAGATGAGGTGTGCATTTTTAGGGTCGACCTTTTCTAAAACCACCCTCCTTGTGGGAAGGCAGCGTCTCTGTTATGCTGGTTGTCTGAAGGAAACACCTTACTGCTGTCATACCTCTGTACAGTCAGTAGTACGACTTCGCCTTCGGACCTTGGGTTTGCCGCTTTTAGTTTTGCCGCTCTTCAACCGACCTGTCTGGCATAGTAGAATCTTGAGGAACAATTGTTCCAACCAGTATTGCTCGATTGGTTCATCACGATAGGCAAGCCCGACCACCACGTCAAGGTAACAGCAACGGTCGGGGAGTGGATAACACGATGGCGTTTGAAGCGAAAGGTACTGGATTCGTGTCCAAGGGTGAACATCAACTCTGAGATGCAGATACATCCAGCTGACAAGTCTCGTGCAGGACAAAATGTGCATCAAACTAGATTCCACTGCTAGCCAATATCAATCTTTGCTTAAATTCATATCTCATTTTATGGCCTATCTAGAAATCTATATCTAGTTAGTGATAGAATCATTTCACTTTTCCAATATCTACAATGTAGTAACTTAAGAATATAAATCGTAGAAGAATCAATGTGATGTTGACAATGAAATGACAACAGCTGACAAATTGAAGATTAACTAATTTTTGTTTCTTTTCTCTACTATAGAATCAACTAAGCATTATGGTCATGTATTCTATATAGCAGATGAAGTGGTGATTACATAGTTTCATAAGTATTGTTAATTTATTTTTGATTAAAATCATGAATCGATCACTGTTAAATCATCCTTGGAAACCTGAAATTGTTGAACAACTGTTTCGTTCTATTATGATGAACAGCCATGTGCATCCATGATCCTGCATTCAGGATTCGAACCTATTCATGCATTGAATACATGAACTGAAATGTATACATGTAGGTTAACTAAACAATGTTTACTGATTGTTCATTGAATAAAA